TTCTTCCTCCTCTTCTCCTTCTCCTTCTTCTTCTTCTCCTTCTTCTCCTCCTCTTCTCCTTCTTCTTCTTCCTCCTCTTCTCCTTCTTCTTCTTCTCCTCCTTCTCCTTCTTCTTCCCCTTCTTCTTCTCCTCCTTCTCCTTCTTCTCCTCCTCCCTGCAGTCGTGTCGGACCTGACGTTGCGAGTGTCCCAGGACTCCAGTTACCTCCACACGTTGGGGGCCCTCGGCTCTCCCTCCGCCCCGCTCCCCGTCCTCCTCTTCCCCCTGTGCTGCCGGGTGTGCGGCCTCACCCTGGAGGAGGCGGACCTGGACGGGGACAAGGCAGACGGCGAGGGGGACGGCGAAGGAGGACAGGTAGTCTTTCTCCTTTCCTCTAAAAGATCCTCATTGTCCCTGGTTGCGTCCCCTCTGTGTGAGACAGGATGTGACACTGAGGACAACGTGTTTCCTCCTCTGAGGTTTTGACTCCGTTCGTTTTCTTCAGGTGTGCCGTCGTTGCTCGTTGGACCCTCTGTCTAAAGATGGATCCGCCCCCTGCGGCCCCGCCGTGTCTCGGGAATCCCGCCGAGGTCAACGAGGCACCAAGCTGTACCGCTGCCCTCACTGCCCCTTCCTGTCCCACTACCCCAACCACTTGGCCCGCCACGCCCACACCCACTCGGAGGAGAAACCCCACCGCTGCCCCCACTGCACCTACACCTCCTCGCACCTCGACAACCTGAAGCGCCACATGCGCGTGCACACGGGCGAGAAGCCTTACCAGTGCCCATCATGCAACTACGCCTGCGGGAACCTGGCCAACCTGCGGCGGCACGAGCGCATCCACTCGGGCGCCAAGCCCTTCCACTGCGGCGTCTGCGGCTACTCCTGCAACCAGAGCATGAACCTGAAGAGGCACATGCTGCGGCACACGGGCGAGAAGCCGTACGCCTGCGCAGAGTGCAACTACACCACGGGTCACTGGGACAACTACAAACGCCACCAGAGGAAACACGGGCACAACACGGACAGCTGGGACAAGCACGCGCCCACCAACGGCCTCAGCTGGGGCGGAGACGCTCCGGAGGGCGAGAGTCAGGGACAGGAACACAGTGAGAGATGAGTGAGTGAGTGAGTGAGTGAAAACACTGGTGAACCTCCAGCTCAGGTTGGAGTTAGACTCAGGTGCCTTTGACAGACTGATGCTGCACTGACTTTATACAGGGGCATTAACGTGCACGTGTGAGAGAGTGTGTGTGTGTGTGTGTGTGTTTGTAGTGCACTCACACACACGATGCAGATTTCAAACTCCAGGTTTGAAACTTTTCTTCATTTCACAGAATCAACGAGAACTGAAAAGTTTATTTTTGTGTCCTGCAGATGAAATATATTTTGTTACTGTGGATTTGTGGTGTCGGTGGATCTTCGCCCTCTGAGCAGCTGCGAGTGGATTTGATTTCTGATCTTTTTCTGTTTTCTTGTCGTGTTTTTAATTGGACTCTTCTTCTGTGTTCACGGGACAGATTCGTTATTTCAGAGAAACGAACACAGAGATTGAACATGAGCCGAGTGACGGAAATCAGAATCAGCTCGGCCTCATCACAAACATCTCGTCCTGGAAACTGAATTAATCAAACTTAGAAAAATTCAACATTAAAATCTATATATTTGACGAACGCTCTGTTTTTTTTCTTTTGTTCTTGATGAGATTGATTTTGGCACTTTTGGGTGAAACTTCAGAAAAATAAATAAGGAACAACTCTGAGTCTTGGTTCTCTTTTGTCCATCGATTTCATCTTTCCAGTATTAAACGAAACAAAGGAGTTGAGATCTTGAGAGGTAAACAAATCCACTTCCTCTTTTCACTCGGTGTAGGAAACACCTGCATCACGCCCAGAGGTGGAGGACGGAGGACGCTGAGTGACCTGCGCTGCTCCGAGGTTCAAACATCTGCAGCAGAAGAAGAGAAAGTGCCGGGGCGTCCCTGAGGAACCACCTCGACCTGCACACACACACCTGAAGTGAAGCTGCAACACGACATCACAATAACACACACCGTGTCGGGGGGGGGGGGGGGGGGGGGGGGGGGGGGGTTGAGGGGAGCGAGGGCGGTCGACTGTGACAGACTATGTAAATCAGGTGGAGTCCCTTTGTGTGTGAGTGTTTGTGTGTTTATTTGATTTCAGAGGCGACAGAGGACAGACACAGCTTCTTCACTCATGGGTTCGGTGAGTGACATTAAAACGTTTCTGAGTTTGTATTTTATTGTGTTGATCTGGATTTTAATTAAATTCACGAGAAAGAACCAAAAGAGACTCAAAGAACGATGTGAACCAGACTCCTTTGGGTTTTTTAATTTGCTCTTGGAAAGAAGAAGTGGTTGCTGAACTCACTCGTGGATCATCAGAGGGAAGATTCTCTCCAGTTAAAAACTTCTCTCTCTGTCGACTGCAGAAAAGCTCTCACCCTCAGGTGTTCCCTGGCGACATCGTGGAGTATCCCAGGAACAAGTACTTCTCTCACTTCGCGGTGTACTACGGAGAGAGGGACGGGGTTCCCTACGTGGCTCACCTGACGTGTCGAGGTCTGTGATGAACACGTACACGTTGGCTGTTGTTAAATTCTTTACTCTCTAAAATAAAAGTTTCCAAATCGATAAAAACACAGAAACTGAAGAATCGGTGTTTGTGTGTTGGTCAGATTCAGATGCGAAGCTCCCACTGTTTGGCCGAGCTCTGAGGTCAGAGGTCAAACTGGATCCTCTGGACATGCTGGGGAAGAAATACAAGGTAACACACACACACACACCTGTGACTGTGTGGACACGTGGTCAGATGTGCACTGTGAGAACTGCACACACACACACATGTGAGGTCTCCATCGTCTTGTGACAGGTCAGCAACATGCTGGACGACTCGTTCTCGGCCCGAGACTTCCACACCGTGGTGAAGCAGGCCATCGACGAC